TAAGGCTCCTATCAACACTCTTGTACAAGCTTTTCTTGTGAACATATTTTTATTTTCTTAGGTAAATATGTAGGAGTGGTATTGCTGAGTTGTATGGTTAGTAAATGTTTAACGTTAATAAGAAACCGATGAACAGTTTTCCAAAGTGGTTGTTCCATTTTACACTTCCATCAGCAAACTAGGAGTGTTCCAATGGTTTCATATTCTTAGCAGCATTTGTTGATATTAGTCTTTTTCAGTCATTCTAGTGGATGTGAACTGGTGTATCATTCTGCTTTTAATTTGTACTTCCCAGCTGACCTAAGATATAGAATACTTTTGAATAAATTTAAAATTTTGATAAAGTCCAACTTATCCTTTTTTTCTTTCTTTGTTGGTACCTTCTGTGTCCTACCCCAAAAAAATCTTTACCTACTCCAGGGTCAAACACAGTTTATGTTTCTCCCTGCCAGCTTTTGTTTCTGGGCTTTACATTTAGATCTATGATTCACCTGCATGTGTGTGTGTGGAAAGTTAAGGGTTGAGGCTCATCTTATTTAATAGTTATTCAGTTGTTCCACCAATAACTGTTATACTCTCCTTTTCCCACTGTATTAACTTGACACTGTGGTCAAAAATTGATTATATAAGTTTAGGTCTATTTCTGGACTCTTGATTCTGTTCCATTGATGTATTAATTTATTCTTATCCTAACATCATAGTCTTGATTACTGTAGCTTTATAGTAAGTCGTGAAACCAGAACGAGCAAGTCTTCCAACTTGTTCTTCCATTTCAAGATCGGTTTGGCTATTTTAAGGTCACTGTACATATACATAAACTTTATTATTTTTTTTATTTTTTGGTTGCTGTGCACAGGCTTCCTCTAGTTGCGGCAAGTGGGGACTACTCTTCGTTGCGATGCGTGGGCTTCTAATTGTGGTCGCTTCTGTTGTTGCAGAGCATGGGCTATAGGCACGTGGGCTCAGTAGTTGTGGCTTGCAGGCTCTAGAGTGAAGGCTCAGTAGTTGTGGTGCATGGGCTTAGTTGCTCCGTGGCATGTGGGATCTTCCTGGACAGGGTTCGAACCCGTGTCCCCTGCATTGTCAGGCGGATTCTTAACCACTGTGCCACCAGGGAAGTCCCAGCATGTGGGCTCAGTAGTTGCAGCATGCAGGCCCTAGAGCGCGTGGGCTTCAGTAGTTGCGGCTTGCCGGCTCTAGAGGGTAGGCTCAGTAGTTGTGGTGCACGGGCTTAGTTGCTCTGTGGCATGTGGGATCTTCCCGGACCAGGGATCGATCCCATGTCCCCTGCATTGGCAGGCAGATTCTTAACCACTGAGCCACGAGGCAAGTCCCATAAACTTTAATATATTTTAATCAACCAGTCTTTGTTCTTTTTTTTTTAAAGCCTGATAGAATTTTGGCAGGGACTGCATAACTATTAATCAATATGGGGAGAAGATACCTTAAACAATAACTGAGTTTTCCAATTCATGAATATACGTCTTTTTATTTAGGTTTATTTTTGGCTGCGTTGGGTCTTCATTGCTGTGCGTGGGCTTTCTCTAGTTGTGGTGAGTGGGGGCTACTCTTCATTGCAGTGTGCAGGCTTCTCACTGCGGTGGCTTCTTGCTGCAGAGCACGGGCTCTAGGTGTGCGGGCTTCAGTAGTTGTGGCACATGGGCTCAGTAGTCATGGCTTGCGGGCTCTAGAGCTCAGGCTTAGTAGTTGTGGTGCACGGGCTTAAGTGTTGCACGGCATGTGGGATCTTCCCAGACCAGGGTTTGAATCCGTGTCCCCTGCATTGGCAGGTGGATTCTTAACCACTGTGCAACCAGGAAAGCCTTTATTTGGGTTAAACATTTTTTTTTTTCCTCAGCAATTTTCGTACTCCTCAGTGCCAAGTCTTTCTATAGATTTGTTCCTAGAATTTGATGTTTTTCACTGCTACTGAAGTGTTGTTTTAAAAATTTGTTTCCAGTTAAATCACTAGCATGCCCCTGGACTTTGATATTTGTAAGATCTTGGTAAATTCACTTATTTGTTCTGATTGAATTTTTTTTTTTTTTTTGTAGAGTGCATAAGACTTTCTACGTAAACAATCTTGTCATTTGTGAATGTCGACTCTTTTGTTTTAATCTTTATGCCTTTTTCTTGACTGACTGCATGGTTAGGACCTACAGAACAAGGATGAACAGAAATGGTGAAAGCAGACATCCTTGCTTTAACATTTTACCATTAAGTATGATGTTAAGTGTGGATGGTCTTTTGCAGATGCTCTTTATTAAAGAATTTATATTCCTGTTTTTGTACTGTGGGAGGGTGTTGAATTTTGTCCAGTGCTTTTTCTGTAATCATTAAGATGATTGTATGGTTTTCCTCTTTTATTCTGTTCATAGGTGAATTATACTGATTAAATTTTTAATGTTGACCCGAACTTGCCTTCCTGGAATAAACTCTATTTGGTCATGATGTATTAGTATTTTCCTTTTTATACATTGCCGGGTTCAATTTGCTAATATTTTAAGGATTTTTATTTCTATATTCATGAGGAATATTGGTCTATTTTCTTTTCTTGTAATACCTTTTTCAGGTTTTGTACCACATACGGTATTTCTTAGGAGTCATCTATATAAATATTTCGTCACAAGCCTAACAAATCCAAAACTCAATTGTTCTGAGGTATGTTTTCATGGCCATTGAAAGGTTCCTAAAAGCCATATGAAAGAAGTAAAAACAAAAAGTCATCTGTCTGATTCTGTAAAAAATTTACATCCTTTAAGTGAAAAGCTGAAAAAATCCAGGGAGAGAATTGAGATGTGAGATAAACTGCTAACTCAAAGATTTGTTTTTGCTAGTTGTTTTCTCTCCTTTATTCCATCCATTTCACAGTAACAGGAAAAAAGTGGGGGGGGGGGTGTTGGAAAAGGGAACTCTGCACTGAGGATTAGGCAAGCTTCACAAATGTTTTTGAATATCCTCAGATATAGTATATGATGGATAAAAATACTGAGATTCAAACTCCAAGCGTAATGAAATTTAGTTGAAAACTATTGGGAATTTAAATCAATTTAGTTTTAAAAGCAGTTCTAATATTTTCCACTCTACAAAAAGCAAAAGAAATCTCTCTGCCCAAGTTAAAAATGTAAGGGATCATCTAACACACCTTTAATTACAAATGCAAAAATTATAGGGAAATTTCAAATGTACACTTTAACAATTAAAAAGTTACAAATTTCATATACAATAAAGTATCTGCCATTTATATAAAAAACAAAGGTCTTTGTGTGTGTATACACACATACCTACTTTTTAAGTAGAGAAAAGGTCTGAAAGGATAACAAAATGAAAACAGCAGTTACCTCTGGGAACATAATTGTGTAAGAATGCTAAATCCTTTTTAGCAATGGCTTGAATTTTCTAGATGAGATTCTACTCTTCATAATTTGTGTAACCAAAATAAACTTTAAAACACTGTTCATACCAGTGAATCATGAGTCTTCACTGTAGTAGACATCACACACCAATCTGCTAAAATAAATTACATGCAGCTTCAAAACTAGGGGTGATAATGTCAGAGGCCACATGCTCAAATCCTACACGTAATCAATTTTTTCCTGATTGTCTTTTGGGCAACAATTTGCATAATACATTTAGGATGGCCCTCAAGTTATTTAAACAAATAGATTTAACAAAAATTATTTTAGTAAACTCTTTGAAAAATGTTTTTTTTTAAAATTAATTCTCATACACATAGCATGTTTCAAAGTTTTTATTTTATAGTTATTGAGAGTGCCACAAAGAATTTTTTTTTTTTTTGGCTGCGCTGGGTCTTCATTGCAGTGCGCGGGGCTCTTTGTTTAGGGGCTCTCACTAGTTGCTGCATGCAGGCCTAGTTGCCCCACAGCATGTGGGATCTTAGTTCCCCAACCAGGATCGAACCTGAGTCCCCCGCATTGGAAGGTGGATTCTTAACCACTGGACCACCAGGGAAGTCCCTCAATTTCTTTTTGATTCAATGACCTTGCCTCACTTTCTTAATCGCACAAATTTTTTATTAGAAAATGAATCACATGTGCTGAATATTTATTTATTTATAATAAATTAATTTTATTTTTATTTTTGGCTGCATTGGGTCTTCGTTGCTGCACGCAGGCTTTCTCTAGTTGCGGTGAGCAGGGACTACTCTTCATTGTGGTGCGTGGGGGCTTCTCATTGCGGTGGCTTCTCTTATTGTGGAGCACAGGCTCTAGGTGTGCAGGCTTAAGTAGTTGCGGCACACGGGCTTAGTTGCTCTGTGGTGTGTGGGATCTTCCCAGACCAGTGATTGAACCCGTGTCCCCTGCATTGGCAGGTGGATTCTTAACCACTGCGCCACCAGGCAAGTCCCTGTGCTGAATTTAAAATATTTGTTTCCTAAAGCGAGAGAGAGGCATGGACATATATACACTACCAAACGTAAGGTAGATAGCTAGTGGGAAGCAGCCGCATAGCACAGGGAGATCAGCTCGGTGCTTTGTGACCACCTAGAGGGGTGGGATAGGGAGGGTGGGAGGGAGGGAGACGCAAGAGGGAAGAGAGATGGGAACATATGTATATGTATAACTGATTCACTTTGTTGTAAGGCAGAAACTAACACACCATTGTAAAGCAATTATACCCCAATAAAGATGTCAAAAAAAAAAATTTGTTTCCTGTCTAGGCCTACCACCAATGACAAAAAAACCACAACAAAAAATAGTAACTACCTAACAAGTGATAACAGTACACCAAAAACATACACAAATTTAAAGAAAATGGCAAATGAGGGAAACTATAACATAGCACATTCAAAACATGGGTATCTTTGTTTTGTTTTTGTTTTTATTTTTGGCCGTGCTGTGTGGCTTGCGGGATCTTAGTTCCCCGACCAGGGATCGAACCTGTGACCTCGGCAGTGAAAGTGCAGAGTCCCAACCACTGGATGCCAGGGAATTCCCAGAACATCAGTATCTTTAAAATATAAAGCTCTTACAAATCCATAAGAAAAAGATGAACAGATATTTCAAAAAGAATTACAAATGGCCAAAAGACAAGTAGTCACTCTCTAATAGCCAAAACAAATCATTAAAATAAGATTTTTTTCACCTATTAAGTGCAAGTGAGTTAAAAAAAAGAAAATACCTATTGCTGGTAGAGATTCATTGACCTTTCTTAGACTTCTGTTGGTACAATACATTGGTACACATTTCTGAAGAACAATTTGACAAGCATTAGTTATCAAAAGCCCTAAAATGCCTTAATCAGAATACTTAACAAGTAATTCATCCCGATTAAGATTTTCATTTAAACTCATCTGTAAACAGAGATAGTTAAAATGAAGAGAACTAAAAGAGGTTTTTATGGTTCAGGACAGAAGACCATCCAAGGCCAAAACAGCTATAACAAGCTTCCTTCAACTCCTTTCTTAAGCTGGAAAAGTCGATGGAAAAATCAAATGGAAATGGAAATATGTTAAACTCTTATTGTTCCTGTGTGTCTAATTCCTGCAAACACTGCAAAAAAAAGGGGCAGCCTTTCATGATACCAGAAGGTAGAAGGTGGAAGGAATGGAAAGACAGAGTCCTGCTTTTTGGGTGTTGCAAATCCTCCCCTCCATTACTGGGAATAAAGAAGTGGCAACATTTTTTCTTTTTTTCCTTCTTTCTCCAAGCAAAAGAGCCAAGTGTGACTATATTAAAACCTCATTTTAGTACTTTCCTATAAAGTTCACTCAAACTTCTTCAATTACTGATTTAAGATGGTCTAGGTGATATTCTTCTATGAAGGATTCTGCTTGATTCAAAGCTTTTATTTTCACCAGAATAAGAATTATTTCTTTGACTTCATCCCTGAAAAAAAAACAAAAAAGCATTTTCCCTTTTAGAAATGCAATGTGTAAGGGCACAGTGAATCATAAGTAGTTAATCTGAAACAAAAACTTTACCTTATGCCAATATCTAAGATAGCATAAAATATTTAGATGCTACCTTCTCCACATAATCATGAAGTTCCAATACAGACTATTAGTGGATGTATTCTGGCAAATTTTAATGTGAATGACTATAAAAAAGGAGAAAAGCATAGATCAAATCTATCAGAAATCTGACTTGTGGTTTGCTGCTACCAGCAGCTTATATGGGCTATCCTGGCAGCAGTATTTATCCACAGATATCATCAAATGCTACAATTTGAGGTTTTAACTTTTTTTCTTTTTGGAGAGGTGGTTTACCAGAATACCACTGTATGTAAATCCTTAAACATCTAGTGCTGTGAATGAGATATCCAAAACAGAGATCTAGCTACTGCTGGGTAAATGCCAGGTTGCAGACCTGTACATAACAAATGTTGAGATTTTGAAATGGCTAGGAAAATTAAGAAGACATTTAAAACATGCTTGATAAGAGGCTTTTGATTTATAGTTTTAATTTTAAATTCCCCTGTGATATAGTTTTCTGGAAGTGCTTATTTTGGAAGAGATTTACATTTAAAAATATGAACTAATATGCATGAGGTGTGAATATAAAATATTGAGTGATTCTAAAGATCATACATGAAAATATCTCCTAACTCTTCAGTGACAGTCTTAGATTTTTAAAAGTAAAGTACAAATCTTTCTAAAAATTGCTAAGAATGGAACCCTAAACTATGCTTATGGAGGTACAAATAAAATATGCATTACCTGATTTCACTTGTAGATAATTTACGTGCAGACTGCAGTAAAAACTGGATGAAGTTTTCTAGCTGGGGAATAGATGTTCTCATGGCAGAATTTTGGAACCATTTTTCTGGTAAACATGCTGCTATCTGATAATCGAAACACATTATTTTTAATAATGACAGTTATTATCTAAGGACTTTAGCTAACATAATTTCATTTAATCCTCATAGTACTCATGTTGGTTGAGTATTATTCTTCCATTTTATAGTTCATGGTTAAATAACTTTTGAGAATTTCCCCTTTTTCTGTCAAGGTTTTATACTTAAAAAAAAATCATATTTTGATACCGAGAGCTTAAAATAGACTACTCTTTATAAATACTTCCTAGTACTTGTAATACTTTCAATACTCTGTATTCCTGAGCGACTAAATTGTACAAAACATTTATAACTAAACACCAGAAATGTGTAGACACAAAATACTTTTAGTTAACATACCTACATTTGACCCTTAAACAATGCAGGGGGTTACGGGCAGTGACCCATTCGCAGTCGAAAACCAGTGTATTAACTTTACAGTCGGCCCTCCATATCTGTGGTTCGGCATCCAAGGATTCAACCAACTGTGGATTGTGTAGTACTCTAGTATGTATTTATTGAAACAATCCATGTAGAAGTGGACCCATGCAGTTCAAACCTGTGTTGTTCAAGGGTCAACTGTATAAAATAGGTACTTTTTTTTTTTTTTCTTCTGCGGTATGCGGGCCTCTCACTTCTGTGGCCTCTCCCGTTGCGGAGCACAGGCTCCGGACGCGCAGGCTCAGCGGCCATGGCTCACGGGCCCAGCCGCTCCGCGGCACATGGGATCTTCCCGAACCGCAGGGCACGAACCCGTGTCCCCTGCATCGGCAGGCGGACTCTCAACCACTGCGCCACCAGGGAAGCCCAAAATAGGTACATTTAATATGATTTCACAGTAAGAAATTGGGTGAGTTTGTGTATAATCTACATGAAGAAATAAATCAAGGTCATTCTAAGATACACTGAGTGAAAAAAATTAATTATGGTTTTGATTTTCTTGTAATTTAATACATTTCTTTAAATGTCCATGGCAGCATAAAGAGTCAATGTATGTGCATTCATTTTTTTTCTTTTGGGGGGGAAAATAACCCCAAACAACACTTACCATCATCATGTTAAAGGTAATGCATGATTTGGGGAAAAGGTTTGGAAAAAAAGAAAAATGTTAACAAAATAAAAAAGAAAAGAAAAACGTCCTCATAGCAGAAGGAAGAATTTTTTTAAAAAAGGAGAGAGAATGGGAGCAAGGAAAAATCTGAGATCATACTATTTAAAGAAATTCTTGGTTTTGCTATAGTTGGTAAGATCAAGATCAGTACGTACTTCTAGAAAGTAGAAAGTTGCACCATATATATATTATAAAATATGTTAAATGAAAGTTCTGGAATGCACTCTTTCTAAAATAAATCTGACTGGTCAACACTGAAAACACAGTTGAGGAAAATGATTTACCCTATTTTTTAATCACCTTTATCAATTATCCAGAAAAAATACAGACACACTGATTGCCTAAGGCAGAAAGTCCTATAAGTCTTATCATGCAAACTGTATCTTTTTAAAGTTTAAAAACCAGCCCTTACTGGCTTGGAATTTAATGTCATTTGCCCTTGCTTTCCCCTTGTTTTGTACCACAAGTCTCAATAAAATTCTGAAGGAACTATCTAGCTTTTCCATAAATGATCCTGGGACTTATAAACACATTGTCTTGGTCTGGTTTTCTGGCCACAAGCTGTGGAGAGAATGTCATATATCCTCTTCCTTACTTCTGCATAGTAGAGCCTACGGTCAAAGAGAACTAAACTGAAACCTGAAACACACATAGGATGGATGATGATTGAAATTTCTGGTAGATAATGTAGTTTAAAACTACATGAAATAAAAACCACAGCTAGAAAAATGGAGGTTGTCTAGGAACTGCTATCTAATATTACATATATATTTATATTTTTAAAAATTTTATTTAAGAATGTAAATATTTTCCCACATTCTTAAAATGTTTTCCTCATGACTTTTATCTTATGGATAGACACTAATGTTTTTAGACATTTAGGTTCTTTCCAACTGTCAGCTATTATAAATAACGCTACAATACTATTCTTTGTACGTAGAAACCTTTATGCACATCTGATTTTTTAACATAGGATAATTTCCTAGAAGTAAAACTGCTGAGTAAAAGGGTATAAACTTTAAAGGTTTTATATCAATCATGCCAAAATAGTTTCCAGAATTGTATTCCTCTTTCCATAATGCAAAAACTATTTCCCAGAATTGCCACTCCATACGTTCTAGATGAATGGTATCCCTGGAATGATGTGGGGCTGTTGTTTCCCTGTGCTTACGACAATACTGGAAATTATAATGGAAATAACAGCAAAAAATTTGCCAGCATAACAGGTAAAAACAATATCCTTACTGTATTATTTGCAATTCTCTGATTATTAGTATTGTTAATATTTTCCACATGTTTAGAAGTTATCTTTGCATATTCTTGTTTGGTGAATTAGGCAATTCACCATGTTGCATGTCTTTGGGTCATTTTCAATAAGAATATTTGAATTGTTTACTGCTTTTTAAAAATGTGGGTATTTATCCTCATTATGCATTGTAACTTATTTTTCTGTTTTTCAACTTTCTTTTTAACTTTTCGTTATAGAAAATTTCAAACATAAACAACAGGAGAAAGAGTAAGTATAGTGAGCCCAGTGAACCCATCTTCCAGTTTTAACAATAATCAAATAATCCTGATACATTTTTGGTTTACTGAAGTTTTATATTTTTGTCAAATCTATTATTTTTTCTCACCATTTTTGCTTTTAAGTTCAGAAAGGACTCCCTTAACATCAGGTATAGTCATTTATCTTCTTAGTACAATATTTTATAGTTTCATTTTTTTTACACTTAATTCTTTACTTCACCTGTAATTTACATTGGTATGTAGTGAGAGGTGAGGATCTAACATTCATTTTGTAAACAGTTAACCAGTATACTTTTTTAAAATACTGGGTTCTTCTGGGTTTCTAGTCTGTTAAATTAATTTGTTGTTAATGTGAGTACCATAATTTTAATTATTTTGCTACAAAATTGATTTTAATAATTAAATTTTAAAAATGATAAAATTAGAATCAGTTTCTACACAACTTACCTGGTTGCACTTTTTAACAACATCTGGCCCAGGTATGGCATTGAGAAGAGCTATAATAAGATAACGATTCAGCAGCTTCCCTAGTCCTAGCTCTTGCAAAGTGTCTTCTGGGAGGAGTTCATTCCAAAGAAGAATATTGCGGAAGAGCTAAAACACAATAAAATGTCAAGTGACTATGTACCTTTTCTCCAAAGGAAAACTGTAATAGTATCCAACAAACATAAAAAGTTGGTCAAACTCTTTTAAACTCTCACTACAATTGGCACTGTTGGAACTGTAAATTTTAGAATCAACAGAAAACATTTCTGAATAAACACTTGATTCTTTCCAACCTCCATATATTTGTTCATCCTATTTTCATTTTTTTAGGACAACCACTCAAAATCTATTTCAAATTACCTTGCTGGAGCCTTTCCTGATCAATAATCTTCCTTCTCAATCCATACTCTCCTGGAGGCTCGGGCCATCAGATACAAGACCACAGGACCTCAGGATTCATAAAAGCACTGCTGTTAAAGCCTGTGTTACTGTTACCAATGTGTGACCTTCAGAAATCAATCAAACCTGAGAACCTCACTGCTCTAATATAGAAAATAAGATTAATAATAACCTGTGACTTTGGAGATACCTTGGGTAAAATACTTTTTAGAAAATCTAATAAAAGTAACATGGGTTGCATTTCCCTCCTCTAAATGCAGATCTTTCTGTGAATTTTATGGTATCTTCCACTTTCTTTCCAGTAATATATGTATCACGCTAGGTGCTAAACTACATCCAATTGTACTAATATGCAATGCCTTTTCACAATGTCATTTTTGATGTTGCTCCCTCTTCTTGAAAAGCCTTTTCCCTGACTCAACCACATGACAAGTATTGATTCACCCTATCAAAATTGTTCTTGCTGAGGTCACCCACTACCTTATCATCATCAAATCCAGTAAAAAAATTTGTCTTCTTTCTAATTCTCTTCAGTGGCATTAACGCTCTGTCTTCGTTCTTGAAGGCCCTTCACTTAGTTTCCCTGATGCCACTCTCTTATGATCATTCTTAGTTTCACAACTCATTCTTAAGGCCTCTCTGAAGACTCCACTTTCTCTGCCCACCTCTTATCTCAGTATCTCCTAAGGGTCTATCCTTAGCCTTCTTCTCATGCTTCACGCAATCTCCTCAGAGGTTGTCATTCATGACCATGCCTCCAAATATTGCCTATATGTGGTTGACTCCCAAATCTCCAGCTCAGATCTGTCCCCTGCAATTCAGAATCATATATCCAATTGCCTCCATTTGTCCCATAGATATTAAATTCACTATGTCCAAAACAGATCTTATCTCTCCTCCCAAACCTTTTCTTCTTCTTGTAACCCCTCCAACACCCTCAAAGAATGTCATCATAAGTTACCAGGTTGCCAAAGTCAAAAACTTGACTAACACCCTACGTTCTTCATACGTAATTAATATCTTTTGAATCCATCTTTTCCTTACCTTCCTTTGTCACTGACTTAGCACCAACTTCATCCTGTATCATTTAGACTAGGGGTGAGACAACTATGGCTTGTGATATAAATACAGCTTACTGCCTGTTTTCGTAGAGTTGGTGAACTAAGAATGTTTATTTATTTATTTATGTATGTATTAAAGTATTTATTTATTTGGCTGCGTCAGGTCTTAGTTGCGGCATGAGGGATCTTCATTGCAGCATGCGGGACTGTGGCACGTGGGCTCTTTAGGTTGTGGCATGCGGACTCTTAGTTGCAGCATGGGAGATCTAGTTCCCTGACCAGGGATCAAACCCCCAGGCCCCTGCATTGGGAGCGTGGAGTCTTAACCACTGGACTGCCAGGGAAGTCCCAAGAATGGTTTTTATAATTTTAAATGACAGTAAAGCTTACTGAACCAAAGACATGCGCTCATTTGTTTACATATTGTCTATGACTGTTTGTACTACAGTGGCGGAGCTGAACAGTTCAACAGAGACCATATGACCTACAAAGCCTAAAATATTTACTGTCTGGTCCTTTACAGAATTTTGCTGATCTTCACTCTATAGTAAACTTTTTAAAAAATAAAAACAATTATTTTTATTTCTGCCGTTTTCTGCTTACCTTTAGACCTGACCAGAACTGTCTTTCTTGGAACTTTGAATGTGGTGACATTCTGTTTTCTACAGCACTAATTTGAAGCAAAAGAAAGAGAAAGAAGAAAATGCAAATGACTGTTCTTCTTTCAGAAACAGAGTTTAAAAACCTGAATGGTTTTGTTTTTTTAAAATCAACCAAACTAAGCCTTAACAGAATATAAAAGGAGGTGCTCTGGTGATATCTACTAAAATTACAAATGCATGCACACTTTGACTCAATAAATCCATGTCTGAGAATGCCTTCTGTAGATACATTTCCACATGTACAGAATAATATGTCCGTAAAATTATTCCCAACATTGTTAGTAATGGTTTACTGCTTACATTCTCGTCAATTACAGTACATCTATATAATGGCATATTGTGCAGCTTAAAAAAGACTGAGGAAACAACTTATGTGATGTCATAAAAAGATCTCAAAGATGTACTAAGTCAAAAAAGTAAGGTACAAAACAATGGTTATGACTACAATATACTTACTTTATAAGTAAATATATAAAAAAGGAGAGGAAAATAAGATTAATTCTAATTGCATTATAAGTATTAAAATTCTATAAGTATTTAATTCTAATTGCATAAAGAAATTCTGAAAAGGTAAAAAAAATTACCAACATTGGGCATTCTTGCATGCATGTATGTGTACAGAGAAGGAAGGTCAAAAACTGGGTGGATGGAGGTCAGGAATGGGAGGGAGTAAGACTTTTCCTTTTAAACATAAACAAAGTTTAAAAATACACATTCATACTTTTTAACCATGGGACTATATTACTTATCTAAAATATTACAAACCTTACTGGGGGGGAATTTTTACATGCAGGCATCTCTTCAGGATTCACATTAACTAGCAAGCTTAGAAGTTCCTTTCTTTTCTTTCCATACAGCTCTTCCATCCTGTAAGTACTCTACAGCTTCAGTTCATGATCCATTACTATAACTGATGCCTTCTTAACAAATGTAAGAATATGCATCAAATACTACTTGTTTGATCATTTAAAGGTAAATACAGAATTCAAAGATGCAGTTTCTGGCCCCTCAGTGATGTTCCAGGCCTTATGCTGGGCTTTCCGTGTCAGGCATTGTTCTGAGCACTCTCTTCATCTTCACAATGTCCTGTGAGGTAGGCATTAATGTAATGCCCAATTTTATATACAAGGACACTGATGCACAGAAAGGCCCAAGGTCAAATATCTAGTAATGGTGAATCTGGGCTCCAGAATCTGTGGTTCTAAGCACTCTGCCATGCCAACTGTCATGTTCTTAGGAATATCATTAACCACCACCCCCAACCAAAAAACCCCCCTAAAACCTATGTCCAAGTGCCAGACATCATACACGGCAATATAAAAGGTGACTGAAAAATATTTGTTGAAATCTCAATTTGCATCCTAATAGGTTATGTGTGTTTTGTAAACACTTAATACATTTAGTGTCTTCTACATTACATTCTTAAATGAATCTGTATTACAGGAGTAACTATTTCATAAAATCTAGAAATTAGCAACTCTTACCTCTCTGGATATAGAGGAATAAAAACATCATCATCTATTGCCTTCTTCATTCTTGAAACAATGGGTTTAAGTAAATCCTATTTTTAAAAAATTTAAAAGCATCACTGATAGTTATAGGTAGAAATGTGTTTACCAAAAGAAGCAATTTTAACAGAATAGTGCAAATTTGTACACACTCACAGACTTAGGTGTTAAAATAACTATCAACTAGGTACAAGAAAACTTCGTTCATCCATGGTGTTGCATGTTGCAGTAGTTGGTGCCTTTTCACTGCAGCACAATATTCTGTTGCATGATGGAACATTTATTTAGATGGTCTTCAGTTTAGGGGTTACTATGAATCACGTTGCTATAAAAGTTCTTGTAGAACATGTCTTTTAGTATGCATGGGCATACAATTCTAATGGGCATATGTAGAGATAGAACTGCTGGAATACAGTTCATGTTTATATGTTCAACTTTGTACAGAATGCCAAATTGTTTTCTGAAATAGTGGTATGCCATTTATATTCCCACTAGCCATGTATGAGAAATCCTGTTTCTCTACACCCTTACTAAATCCTGGTATTTTTAGGGTTTTTAAATACTTGCAATTCTGGTGAGTATGTAGTCATATTTTATTATGTTTTAATTTTTATTTTCCTATTGAGTAATCTGATGTTAAGCATCTTCTCATATTCTTATTTACCATTTGGATATGTCCCTTTGCAAAGTATCCAATTAAGATGCTTGTCTACATATGTTTTTTTTTTTTAATTTAAATTAGGTTCTATCTCTTATTGATTTGTAGATGCTTTATAAATATGGTTTCTTCACTGGTTTGTCAATATCCTTTGACATAGTATATTCACTTTGGCAAATTCATTTTATTGTTTGTGTATCAAAAATTGAAAATAACCAAAACATTGAATCATGGGAACTTTTAAGGACATCATGTTATGTCCATCCAGTGCATGAAATATTTAGCTAAAGTTTACGAAGACTGTAGTAACATGCAAATTTAAATGTTTAATATTTAAGTGGAAGAAGTAGGATACAAGTGTACATGTCCATTAGTATTAAAATTCTGAAATAAAAGGTAGGCTGAAAATATCCTACAGCGGTATCAGTCTTTATACTAGGATAAAAATTTCTATAATAAGATACTGGTCTTACACTTAAAAAAGGAATCCATATTTGAAAAATGGAAACGGCATACTACATATTAGAGGGAAAGTTATTTTTTTAAGTCAGTGACAATGTGTGTAGCACAAATTAAGCTGTCATATACCCTATACTAAGCAAGTTACTCATAAATGTAGAATTCAACCAAATATATTTTTTCATAAAAGGTGTATCTAACTGAAGTCCTGTTTCTCTTTTCACTTAAATATCTGTAACATATTCCTCAAATGGCTGCATATCAATATTAACATTAAAAACAAAAACTCAATTTTCTTTTACTCTCTCAAACATTTTGAATTCTTTTATTTTATTTTATTTTTTTTTTGTGGTACGTGGGCCTCTCACTGTTGTGGCCTCTCCCGTTGCGGAGCACAGGCTCTGGACGTGCAGGCTCAGCGGCCATGGCTCACGGGCCCAGCCGCTCCGCGGTATGTGGGATCTTCCCGGACTGGGGCACGAACCTGTGTCCCCTGCATCGGCAGGCGGACTCTCAACCACTGCGCCACCAGGGAAGCCCTCTTGAATTCTTTTAAAATACAATTATGCTTTGATTTTTTTCCACTTAATGTAAATGATTTTGAATCTCAGCCTTGATAAATATTTCCATATTAATTTTTGTTTCTTAAAAATAGTTCTCTAAAAAATGCTATAAAGGACTTTATTGAGTCAAATGACAGAAGTAGAATATGGATGGTAGATTAAGTACTGTTAAATTTACTGAAATTGCTAACTGTACTATGGTTATGTAACAGACTATCCTTAGCAAATATGCAACTTACTCTCAAAGTGTTCAGGAGAAAAAAAATTGTGTGTGTGTGTGTATATCTAATGGGAGAGCAAACACTAATGCAAATGGGGCAAAATATTAACGACAAGTCAATCTGGGTAAAAGGCCTATGAATATGCTATTTTTAATCATGAGAGTTTTCTGTAAGTTTGCCATTATTTCTAAATAATTGTTTAAAACAAAAGAAAACTTAAATTCACATATTTTATAACTTGGAGCTCATTAACTTTTCCAAGTAGTAAAATATCTTTGGTGGAAAAACAAAGTTCTCTAAAGCGTAAAGTTTTAACAACTACAGACACTTCTGTACACAGACTTTATTTTTATTTTATTATTTTTATTTTCTTATTGAAAGGTTCTTTAAATTCTACAATGCTTTACAATTTTCAAAAGTTTCACACACATGATAAAAATATGGGATGCTTCATGAATCTGTGTGTCACCCTTGCACAGGGGCCATCCTAATCTGTGTATCATTCCAATTTTAGTATGTGTGTTGCCGAAGTGAGCACTGTATAGAGACTCTAAAACAGCTCTGAAAAGGCACTTAAAAGCTCTGGCTGGTAGTTTTTATGATGCTCTGCATATCCATAGTGATAATCCTGGGTGGCATGGGCAGATGTTGAGGCCCTCAGGGGAGAATGAGAGTAGGTGCTCACCACAGCAAGAGCAGCATTACTTTTGTGTGTGTCTGTGTACAGGGATGTGTAAGACTTTATTTGAAAAGTTTCTGTGGATAGAAAAAGAAATTTGAAAACTACCCATCTATCTAAGCATTCATCTGATGTCACTTTCACATTTCCACTAACCGGTCAACCAACCTATGCACTATCCCCTGAGGCTGTGCATAACTTCGGGCATCTTTTGACTATTAGATTTCAGTTAATGAGAAACAAACTTCTCTCCCCTACTACACCTTCCATACGTTGGTCCCGGTTACTTCTCAGGATCATGCAGAGCAAATCTAATCATCCTTCCCTATGAAAACTCTTCAGGTTTAAGATTGATATCTCACTTTTCTACATTTTCTCTTTCCCATACCATCTTAGACACTCTCCATTTAATATACTTTAACCTAAAATTAAATGCAAAATACCCAGGGAAGTCTTACTTGTGAGGAAAGCACATACAACATTTTTACTCAAAAGAGCAGACACCTAGTAGGATGAACTCCCATTAGTCTTTCTGCTACTCAAGTGACACTGTTGACTCATATTGGGTTTATGGTTGATTATAATCCCTCTCTGTTACCTATGGTTGCTTCAAAGCTTGCCTCTCCCATCTTGTATTTATGCAGTTGAATTTTTGAACACAATGGTAGGACATATGTATATTCCTTTTACATTTTATGTTTTGAGAGTCAGTCCATTTTCTCAGTATTTTGAAATTCTTTTGGATTCTAATTCTTTTATCCATAGATCTATGACAGAATTCCTAGCTTTCTGCCATTGAGAAATTTTATTAGCATGTATTTTACATCTTCATCCAGTTCAATAAAAATACTGAACAGGACAAAGCTGAGAAGATTCTGGCCCTATGGGTCAGTATTCTTTAGGTATACTCTACCAGTTTTCTGTATATCTGACTATACCATATCTTTTCCCATTTGATCCGTAAGAAAATCTTAACATATTTAAATACATTATCTACTGTACCTGTACAGTACCTTATTTATCAGTGAAAGTAACTGAGATAATATGGAAGAATATGCTTTGATAAACAGTTGTTTGTATTTAGGAACCCCATCAATGAAAGATTACAGTAAACACTGCTTTCTTATTTTAAGTGCTCGTAATCCATCTCTGTAATAATCTATTTTAGAACATTAACCAGAATCAAAACTATTCTCACCAGACATTAGTTTACAGAATCATTTGTTTTTCACTTCAAAATCAGGAACTATGCTGTCTGACTTGTTCTTCTGGAACCTTTCTCATTCTCTTCAATTCTTAAATATCACTGAAACAAATCACTGGCAAACTGTGTTACTAACCTGGAATATTACGTAGTACACTGACTCTCAAGTAGGGATAATTCTGCCATGCCTCAGAATATTTAAAGTCTAGAGATATTTTTGGTTGTCAAGACGGGGAAGTGCTACTGGCATCTAGTGAGTAGAGACCAGGGGATCTTAATGCATAGGACAGCCTCCCACAAAGAACTATCTGTTCCAAATGCCAAGAGTGCCAAAGTTGAAAGTCCTCATGTAGTTCTAGTCTCCTACGAATGCAAAGACCCCATTTTCAACATTCAGAGTGGGATGGCTTCCAGAATTAAAATTACCAGTATAAAGACTTCATGAGTGAATCCATAATACCACTGAAAGACTTTAGTGGTTACAAAGTGCTGGGCCTGCCACTTTAATCTTTTAAAAGTGACTTGGAACTCTGGGCCCCAGCTCCTTCACCTGTAAAATGCAATTAAAGTCAACACATTTTACAAGGTTGCGAGGATCAAATGAGAAAATGTGAAAGTGTTTAAAAAATGGCAAAGCACTATTTACATTTGGGCTATAGTTAAATAATCCCACATAGAGAGCAAATACAGGACTATATAGCTGCTTCCTTGTAGCTCTAACCTACTAATCTTGGTTCTATGCTTTATAACAACACAGAATAAATCTATTCCTTCTTCAAATATAAACACTATCTCTATGCACATCTTCTTTTTAGTTGAATCTCTCTAATTCCTGCATGATTTTCACATGTTTTTATCCTGTTGGGGTAAGTGGAAAATGCCCTTTCTCCATCAGTTGCTACTGTTCAAATCCTATTCCTTCCTTCAGGTCCCTGCTCAAATGCCACGTCTAACAAAAATTCTTTCACTGCAGAAAGTAAATTCTCTCTCCTGCCTCTCTTTTGAGGTTCATAGCCCTTTATCTGGGCCACTCATGGGGAGGCAATGTGGTCAGTGAGATGAGCCTGGGCTTTAAAGACTAATAACCAAGGTACAAATCCTAGTTCTGACTCAAGGCTTTACTGTGAACAACTTTTCAAGATTCAGATTCTTCAACTGTAAGATTAAGCTATCACCGTTGTTAATAGGATTGCTGGGACTAAGTGGGATGATACAAGAATAAGACCTAACAGAGTGCCTAGTACATAGCAGGAGTTAGATAAACAAGTGCTCCTGGTCACTCCCACTTACTTCCTATTTGAAATAACAGTTTATGTACATCTTGTTTCCTCTAAGATAACATGCTTCTTAAAGGCAGAATCATGCTGGTATCCCTATTCTCCCTCTTATTTCTTACAACTTCCCTCCTTCATGACAGCAATTTCAAGTGCTAAAACTTACTGGTGTTCAGAATATGAATATGACACGTCTCCTTGCTTTTTCAACCATCTTGGTTATTCCACTCTGGGTACCCTCCAGTCTGTCAGTCTCTCTCTTAATTCTCTTAAAACTCAACGTAAAATTGGTTTACTTATTTAACTGCATGAGTATACAATATTATCAACAAACAGAATTATAAAAAAGAGTACTACAATAAGAGTAAGATTCAACATTCTCAAAAGAGCCTCTAAAAATTTCCTTCCTCTTTATGTCTTATGTTCAGTGAACTACACTTTTGCCAAAAAACAAAGGTAATTAGTATTTTTTTCTTTTAGAAGGAATGAATTTGCACTAATATATTTATGCCTTTTCATTTCTGCAGGGCCAATGTATATTCACAAACCTGAAAGACAGCTGGCTGGGCCATGAGAACACAAATCAGACCACTGAACAGAGAGAAATAAGCTAATAAGAATGAAAGTAATAATCTGGATCTTATTGAATGTATGTGTATCCTTTTATAAGCATTACCATTCCTGTAAGAGTGTTCAGAAATATCAAGGTGTATTCTTTCATCTTATTAATTATAAAGAGCAAAGAATGGTCAATCCTAAATATTTTTCCCTAAATAGTTTTCTGATAATTACGTCTGCATCTTCCGTAAACAAAGATTTATAATAAATTTTATTGATTTACAAATATATCAAGAAATTCATAATTCTAGAAATTATTACCTGTTTGCCTTTACTAATAACTTCATTTTCACAAGTGGAATGTTCTTCAAAAATCATTCTGCTCTGTGTTATTAAATTTGTTGTCTGTGAGGTTGACAAGGGATCCCAAATGAATTCTACAAAGTCTGAAACAAAAATTTTTGGTGGTGCACAATTTAGTTACTAGATTGAGCTTTGCTTGTCACATATAAACAATTGAGGCCTTCAGCAAACACTACTTCCCTCCTTATATGGTTTAAAATCCATGACAATCAGTACCATTATGTATTTGCATACACTCTCTGTTGTTGCAGTCTGGCTCAACTGCAACCCTAGTTAAATCACCTTGTCACAGCATCTGTGCCTGCAACCATGCAGCTAAAACATGGCTGGAAAAAAATACACTTTAAATTGATCACCATGAAACTCCAGTGAGACCTTACTGCTGCCCAGCAATCACATTCTGTTTCCCTGGCCCATTCTCCTTCCCTCTGGCCTAGACAATTATTTCCTGCCTTATCCTTCCTCCTTGCTCTCAGTTAATGGACTCTTCCAGATGACTACTTCTTATGTTTTCTTTTCTCCACACTTGCTCTCACTCTCAGCTGATTACTTCCCCATTTGATGAGAAAAATAGAATCAATCCGAAGAGAAGCTCCACAAGGTCCTCCTACAGCATGTACACAACTACAAGCACCTGTGCTCATAAACTCTAACTTGTCTCCTGTTCCTATGGACGAAGCACTACACTCCTTGCCAAGGCCAACACTTCATTTGTACAAAAGACCCCAACCCCTTTGGCTTTCTTGAAGATCCTGTTCCCGGAATTCTGCCCTCTCATTTCCACTGGATCTTTTCTATCAGTCTACAATTATTTCTCTTGTATTAAAAATAATCCCTCTCCTGACCCTACTTTCCCCTCCAGTGCTGTTTTACTTCTTTGCTTCATTTTATAACAAAATTACTTAAAAAACTTCCTATCTCCATTTTCTCTCCTCAAACTCCTGAATTCACTTCAGTTAGGCCTTACCTCCAACTATTCTCCTAAACTACTCTTACTAAGTCACAGATAACCTTCACATTTGTAAAATCTAATGGTTGATTCTACTCCCCATCTGATTTATCAGCAACAATTGCAACACTTTTCTTTACTTGGCTTCCAGGATACTACTCCCGTTTCCCACCTACCTCTCTGGTCTCCTTTACTGTCTGTTTGTCATCTTGTTGACTTTCTAAATGCTGGAGTACCTCAGGACTCTGGTCACTTACCTTCTCTTTCCTATTTATATTTATACTTTATACAGAATTCAACCACTTTCCAGCCACCTCCACTTTTAACACTCAAGCCTAAGCTACTATCATCTGTTGCTTGGATTACTGCAAAAGTTTCCTAACTGGGCTGCCTACAGTTCATTCTCAACACAATAACCAGAGTAATTCTGTTAAAATGTTAAGGCAGATCTCGTCACTTCTCTGCTCTAAACTCTCCAACTGCTTCTCACTCTTTCACTTAAGTAAAAGTCCTTACAAATGATTATAAGGCCCCATATGACACAGCCAGTCATCCTGCTCACCTCTTCTTAGTCTCCCCCTTGCTCACTCTACTAAAGTTACCCTGGCTTATGTGCTGTTTTTCAAGCAAATCAGGCTAGCTCCTGCCTCAGGGCCTTTGTACTTGCTGTTTCTGCTGCCTTGGATGCTGTTACCTCAGATATTCACATGGCCCACTTCTTTACTTCCTTTTGGAATCTGCTCATTTGTGACCTTCCCAGGAAAGCTTTCCCTGGCCAGCCTATTTTAAATTGCACTACTCTTTCATAATTTGTATCTCTTTCCCTTACTTTATTTTTCTCCTTGGCCCTTTTAACCCACATACTCTAGATTTTATTTATTTATCTTATTATCCTTTGTCTTCTTCATGGAATGTAAGCTCCATGAGAGCAGGGATTATTATTTTGTTCATTGTTGTATACACTGAAGTAACAACTGTGCTTGACCCTTGTAAAATACATGTTAAATAACTTTTTAAATTTTTCTTTGCGGTACGCGGGCCTCTCACTGTTGTGGCCTCTCCTGTTGCAGAGCACAGGTTCCAGACGCGCAGGCTCAACGGCCATGGCTCACGGGCCCAGCTGCTCCGCGGCATGTGGGATCTTTCCCAGACCGGGGCACGAACCCGTGTCCCCTGCATTGGCAGGCGGACTCTCAACCACTGCGCCACCAGGGAAGCCCTAAATAACTTTTAAAAATGTAAATAGGTTAAAAAGAAACATCCCAGGTCAAATATAAAACAGTGATTTCTCAGGCATCTAGAAGGTTAGGCTTGTAATAATCTTAGAAATATTTGGTCAACTAATACTGAGAGCCTACTATGTGCCTAACATTAACAACAGGAAACAAAGCAATAAGTAAGACTAGGTAACTGCCTCTGAACAATTCTGGCTAATGGCAAATACAAACATTTAGGTAAGCAATTATAATTTAATGCATAGATGCCACCCTAAGTATGAGTTCAGAGTGCCACAGGAACCCTGAAAGGTATGCCTAATCCAGTTCCTAGAAGTAATGTCCATACTGAGTTCTGAAAGATGAGGAGAAATTAGCTAGATGAAAGAGGTAGAGTTAGGGGATTTGTCAAGTGGATGGATGGCAGAAGGTATAAAGGCCAAGAAGAATATAGCTTAAGTCCAGTAGAGGTGGAAATGAGGGGAAGAAGGAACCGAGCATGGCAGGAGATGGGGCTAAAGCACTACTAAACAGAGACAAAATCCTGAAAGGCCTAGAAAGCATGTTAAAGAGTTTAGACTTCATCCTAAAGACAGTTAAGAATAATTAAAGTGTTTTACGTGAGGTATGACAGAATCAGACATATTTTAGATAGATCACCATGGTTTTTGTATAGAAAATGGGTTAGAAAAAGGAAAAAAACAACAGACTTGGCAATTGCTTATATAAGGAGGTAAGAAAAACGGAGTGGATGACTTGAAAGTTCTGGTTTGAATATGTGGGTAGATGGAGGTACCATTTTCCAGACAAGGAATATAAGAGGAACAGGTCTGCAGCAAAGATGGCAAGTATGATTTTGCATGTGGAGCTTAAGTTGTCAAGTAGATGTACTCAGAAGATACTTTGATAAGAGAGATCTGGTGCTCTAAGAAGACATCTGGACTTGTTCTTCCAGTTCTTTTTGATTTAAAATGAAGCAGAATAGTACCATCCAAAAGAACTTTCTGTGATGATGGAAAAAAACATCTTACATCTGCACTATTTAATATGATAGCCAGGAGTGATATATGGCTACTGAAGATTTAAAATGTGTCTAGTGTGACTGAGAACTGAATTTTAATTTTACTAATTTGAAATTTATATTTTAATAGCTACATATTGCTAGTGGTTACCATACTGAGCAACACAGACATAGATGGCACTAGAGGAGAGTATGCCAGGGATTACCCAGGGAGCTCATGAAGAAGGTCCAGGATAGGACTTGAGAATAAATATACAGTATTAATTTCTCATAATGCTACTTATTTGAGGAACTGTTTAATTGTAAGTGAAATATTTGGAGTTTCCAGATGAGTACTTAAATGAGGCACATATATTCTATGCTATCAATAGTGCTTAATAGCTAAAAGTAAATAGTTAAAAGTACTATCTTTCTAAGATACCCATGATTGCACTACAAGTTATATGAAAAAAAATCTTTAAAGTATAGTCAAGTTGGCTGAGAAGCACTATAAAGTAAGTTGCTTCATCTTTTAAGAGTTCTGCAGACTTTGCTGTCAGAATTCATTCTCAGTGACATGGTGGAACAGATCCTTATCAAGTACAATTTCAGATAAAACAAGTCTTCAGACTGAAGCACAAGCATCAATGCCCAAGGGCTTCTGAGTGCTGGTGGCAGATGTGAGGGAAATGTAGTAATGTTTTTTAAAGAAAGAAGAAACACACTACACAAAAATAAACTCAAAATGGATTAAAGACCTAAATGTAAGGCCAGCCACTATAAAACTCTTAGAGGAAAACATAGGCAGAACAGTCTCTAACATAAATTTCAGCAAGATCTTTTTTGATCCACCTCCCAGTGAAAATAAAAACAAAAATAAACAAATGGGATCTAATTAAACTTAAAATCTTTTTTTGGGCCACGCCACATGGCTTGTGGGATTTCAGTTCCCCAGCCAGGGATCAAACCCAGGACATCAGAAGTGAGAACATGGAGTCCTAACCACTGGACTGCCAGGGAATTCCCTAAACTTGAAATCTTTTGTACAGCAAAGGAAACCATAAACAAAACAAAGAGACAAGCCTCAGAATGGGAGAAAATATTTGCAAATGAAGGAACCAACAAGGGATTAATCTCCAAAACATACAAACAGCTCATGCAGCTCAATATCAAAAAAACAAATAACCCAACCAAAAAATGGGCAGAAGATCTGCATAGGCATTTCTCCGAAGAAGAAGACATACAGATGGCCAAAAAGCACATGAAAAGCTGCTCAACATCACTAATTATTAGAGAAATACAAATCAAAACTACAATGAGGTATAACCTCACACCGGTCAGAATGGCAATCATCAAAAAGTCCACAAACAGTAAGTGCTGGAGGGGGTGTGGAGAAAAGGGAACCCTCCTACACTGTTGATGGGGATGTGAATTGGTACAGCCACTATGGAGAACAGTATGGGAGGTCCCTTAAAAAACTAAAAATATAACTACCATAAGACCCAGCAATCTCACTCCTGGGCAAATACCTGGAGAAAACCATAATTCAAAATGATACATGCACCCCAATGTTCACTGCAGCACTGTTTACAATAGCCAGGACATGGAAGCAACCTGAATGTCCATCAACAGAGGAATGTATAAAGAAGATGTGGTACATATATACAATGGAATATTACTCAGTCATAAAGAAGAACAAATAATGCCATCTGCAGCAACATGGACGGACCCAGAGATTGCCATACTGGGTGAAGTAAGTCAGACAAAGACAAATATCACATGTTATCGCTGATATATGGAATCTAAAAATAAGGGTACAAATGAATTTATTTATAAAATAAAAGTAGAGTCATGGATATGGAAAACATACTTATGGTTACCAGGGGATGGGGGGGAGGGGTAAATCAAGAGATTGGGATTGACATGTACATATTACTATATATAAAATTGATAACTAATAAGGACCTACTGTATAGCACAGGGAACTCTACTCAATACTCTGTGATGGCCTATATGGGAAAAGAATCCAAAAAGAGAGTGGATATGTATAACTGATTCACTTTGCTGTACATCTGAAACTAACACAACATTGTACATCAACCATACTCCAATAAAAATTTAAAAAAAAAAAAGAAACATAGGGGAGAAGTTAAGGGAAAGAAAGAAATACATGTAGTAGAGATGAAAGTGTGCCCCTAAAAAATGACTTATAAAAAAGTAACTAATGAAAGTAATGTTAGGGCTTCCCTGGTGGTGCAGTGGTTAAGAATCCACCTGCCAATGCAGGGGACATGGGTTTGAGCCCTGGTCCGGGAAGATCCCACATGCCGCAGAGCAACTAAGCCCGTGCGCCACAACTACTGAGTCTGCACTCTACAGCTCGCTCGCCGCCAACTAGAGAAAAGCCTGCGTGCAGCAATGAAGACCCAATGCAGCCTAAAATAAAATTAATTAAAAAAAAATAAATAAAAGTAACGCTAATGTCACAAATACTAAAGATCCAAAAGTATCAGGAGTTTGATAGCCAATCACTTGTACAAACAAGCATTTTTTAATCAGCTTAAATTATAATATCTATTGCTTTTTACTGCATATTACAGTTGCTGTGTTCAAAAACGTCCAAAAAAATTTGTGACTGTTAACAGAAATTAATGATCTCACACTTTGCCAAAGAACAATTTAATTTTATCAAGATTACAAAACAGTACCTGTAAGTCGAGGAATAATTGTTTTGCTGATGACAGTAGACAAGATTTTCTTATCAGAACTATCTTCCTTCTTTGAATCTTCCATACTGCTATCTATAAATTCTTCTATAGATGTGAACCATGGCATCTGTTTTAAACCTATGGAATCAAACTTATAAATAAAATTATCTAAGTTATAAATAAATTCTTAAACATTAGTTTATTTTTAAATAGTTAACTTTTTCAGTAATTACCAGAGCTTCTCTAAGGATCAAAGGAGAATAATTCCATATTTTAACCCAATGTATACAGTACTAGACCACCAAGGCTAGGCAGGATGACATGACTAAGACATGATGTCTAGGCAGTAGGACAGAACACTGCGTTTCATGCATTCATTCATATCCAGAAATGTCCACTATGTGTTCAGAGCCTACTACATGGCAGGTACTGTTAGGAGCAAAGTATACATTTATAACAACAGCAGTTAAAATAGCCATGTAATTTATTTATAAAAATACACTTAGCTCACGCAAAATTCACTTCTGGCTCTCTCGAATCTCACTGGCACAAATATATACTTTGCATGTGGTTTAGCTTATTATTAAACAAACAGCAGATGGCCAATTATTATTTGTTGAATAACTGAATGAACAGATCTTTGCTAGATGTAACAGAGTACTTAGTTCAGCTGGAGTGGTTAGCAACTAGGCTGCTTTCCGACCAACTATCTACCACTTTCTTAGGGATAAGCTTGGCTCCTAAACTATGAACACTGCATGGCCCTAACACAGAGCCTAAAGGCATGCATGACTAGAGCAGAGGAAGATAAAATGACAAGGATCCATCCTTTACTTTGTTAAATCTTTATTTTCAGCTCTCCTTTCTTCCTAGAGTTTCATTTTCTCGTTTCTGTTTGCTTAACAGGCATATCCACATGGATGTCCCATCAACATTTCATTGTCTATAAAGTAAAACTTCCATCAAAACCGTTTTCCTCTCTGAAAAGTCACCATGTTTATGAATGGAACTACCATTGTACTAATAACTCAGACTCCAAATCTTGAGGTCATCTTTCTGATATGTTGTGTTAGGTTTATTCTCAGTATTTTACTGATTCTTACTTCATAACGCCACTTGTAATCAACACTTTCTTTCTCTTCCCTTTGTCACTACCACCCAAAGTGAGGAATTCTTCACCCTGCACTTGGGCTACAGCAATAGCCTTTCAGTATATACCTTCAACTCTTTCTCCCTAGCCTCCAAGTTAGCCTGTTGCTCAGGGCTTCCTAAAACATTACCTTCATCATGTCACGCCTCCCATTATCTATCAAAACAAGTTCATATCTCTTAATTTAGGATCTATGCAGTCTCTACTAAACTAGTATTTCTCCCTATGTACCTTCATAAAATACCTTTTCCTTCCTCTGTCTTCCTGTTTAAATTCTATATATCCTTCAAATCCTCATTTAAATTCCTCATCTTCATTGTAGCTTTCCTAGCCAAGTATTCCCATTATGTCATCTCCAACTTCAGAACTCTTGGTACCTATTTTGAATTTCACTCAAACAGACTGTAAAATTCTTAAGGTCTAATACTACCTTTACTTTTTTGAGTGATCTTAAACTTATCATAGAAGAAGATTTAAAAGAAAAAGTGTTTCCTTTACTGATGTTAAGTGTCACTCAGCCTTAAAAACAGAGTGAGAACCAAGAAAAGATGAGTGTAGACTATTACTCCAAAGCACAAATTATCAATTCCAACTCTAAAGGAATGGTACTTTATAGTTAACCTGATAACTAGAGGATTTAAGTAACTAAATGTGATCAGGATTATTTTTTTCACATGTTAAGCTTAGGTACCTTAAGAGGATTCCAATCAATCAACTGAAATCGTATTAGGGGATTTAAAAGCTTCGGAATGCATAAACTAATGAAAGCTTCATAATAAGAATCAGGAAACTTTTCTCGCCATTGTTGAAATTTCAATAAAATATTCTGGATATTACAAAAATCATCGTGTACATCTTCAAAAATCTTCTTATGATCCCGTAAAACGTCACCTGTGAAGAAAATGAGTCTCTGTATATTATGCATTTTAAGTTTGTGATCTTGAAGTTTGTTTCCTATAAACATAGTTATGTATAACTTATGTAATCAACTGAGCTGAAAACTATCCTTTGACGTTAACATATAAATTAGGTTTTATTAAAAAAACACTTTAGTAACAATTGACACTAATAAAGTCTGCCATTTATTGAGCCCCTGCTATATGCCAAAACATTATAAATACATTACCTCATTTCATCATCATAACTATGTTTCCTATAAGGTAGGTGTTTCTAGCCTACCTATTTACAGACAAAGAACAAGCAAACAAACAACAATATCAGATATAGTGAAGTCAAGGAATCTGCCAATGATCACACAGACTAGATCCCCTCTTTGAACTCATCTGGTTGACTGTAAAGCCCACACTCAACTATACATATTTTACCTTCTTATAATGCTAAAACTGGGCTTTACGAAATTCAATTATTTTAAATTAAAAATTATAATATAGAAAGTATGCAGTAGAGAAATGAAGCCAAAAATGTTCATGGTTCCTTTATAACAGGAGATGAAAAGGAATACTCATCATGCTCCTCCATTTTATCCATTTTTTCAGAGGAAAGGACAAGTCTTATATGGAAAAAAAAATGTATTCCTTTTTTCCTGAATTTTACCAACTATTTTACATAGCTTAAATAATTAAGGGCAATCACAGCAAAGCATTTTCCATCATTTCAATACTTCAAGACACATTAGAAACTTGATAACTGACCTTGGGTTTTTTGGAAGTCCATCATGTCTGCTGAAGATAGTTCATCATCACTAGATGTTCCTTCCTGATGAGTACAATTCCCAGAAAGAACCCTTGCTTGTCTTCTTTGTGCCCTATATTTTGCAATAAACCAAAAATAAATAAACAAATAGCTCCTGTTGAAAAGAAATGCTTTAAAACAAAAAGTCATCATTTACTTAAAATACCCAGAAATAAACCATCACATTTGCATGCAATTTTATGTTAATATTTTTGACATTTTAGCTTCATTAATCTGAATTCGTTCTCCCTCTTTTTTCCTGTAAGACATTCCCATAGCCTACCCAGATTTGGAAGAGCAGGTAACAATGTAATTAGGACCGGCTTCTTAGGTATGAGCCATTCCCAGCCTGATAAATGCCATTTTACCCATTCCTTCTGACTGATCCAAATATACCAGTGCATCTTTAAACCATAAATTTTGGTTTTATATCATTCTCACAAATTAATATGCTAGGTTATGGTTATTTATACTATATGGTTAATCGTATTTAAGCAGTAAAAAATACTTGCTCAATGATGCTTTAAGTCTTTATATAGTTACCTTCGAGATTCAATCTCTTCTAAAATCCATTGAGTTTTTTCATCTATAGCCAAGCTTCTATTTGTTGACGTCTCAGCTTTGTCTGTTAATGAATAAAATTGATTTCATACTGCAAATTCTTAAAAGAAATACAGTGAAACACTTTGAGAACAAGTTATATCTTAGGTATATATACACATCTGTATATATAAACACACACAAATAGAATATGCTTAAATTGCATATTTCATCATGCAATGAAATTGCAATGTTACCCTATCACAATATTAACAGTCACTGAGTTTGCTAGTCTAAGAAAATATACCTTGTCTGGTGAATACAGTTCAGCACTTGAGAACAGTAACAAAATTTAATATAAAGTTTCTTTCCCTAGTATTCTTTTTCAGCAGTTTTCACCAGTTTTTTTTCTGTCCCTATAGTCAAATGCTAGAAACATTTGCATTATCAATACGTCATTCATGTTATTTCCTATTTTAGCATGTACCGTAATTTATGACCAACTGAATGTCATGTATTTGAGTCATTCTGATTTTGCTTTTATCATCTACTTGATGCTATGGTCGCATTTCTTTCACTATACCCTGACAGCACCTTAACCAATGGAAGACATCTCTGAAAATACAAAACCAGTGTGAGAACTAAAGGGAAGCATCCAAATCTTTTATTAATATAATGAGATCTTACAGATAATTCTATGCTGAACCCACCAGAATTTCTTTAACCTCCACAAACAATCTGTGGACGGGCTATGGAAAATTTATAAAGTTATATTTCTGACACAGTCTATATATTTATTTCAAGTCATCTCCAAACAGTCATTAAATGGTCCTATAAATATTTTGTTTCAAATACTAAGTGATTAGAAGTTATAATTTTCATTTTTTAGTTTTAGACTGCATTTAAGACATTTTGAAGCCCTAGCTTAAATGGTTTGGGAGTTTTGGAAGGGGGTAGGTGAAAGGTTAGTGGGAAAATACTCAAAAAACATTTTTTATACAGGAATAAAAATATTTTTATCTTTTAGCTGATAATTTAGCTTAATGAATAAAAAATCACATTGAACATGAAAAACACTAACGTGATAACTGTTGTAAATACGCTGATTCATGTTTTAATTCATCTTGCCTGCGTTTCATAAAGATCATGGCTTGTTTTACAAGGAGTGCATGCATGGCTGATTCTATTTCTTGGATGTTGATAATCTGAAATACATATATAAGTAACATTTTGTGGGTCATCTTTAATGAATTATAAAAAATAATATTTATATATAAGCATATTACATGCTCAACTCTCATATACAGAAACATTTTTTATACCATCTCATCTCAATTAAAAGAACACTGTGAGGAACAGACCTAGCTTCTAATACTTTTAATACTAATAAAACTAGAAAATCAACTTACTGTATTAAAACAGCTATAAATATCATAAATAATAAAACCTAATGGGCTGGAGTCAGGAACATGGTAAGAGTGGATAGATAAGAAGGATTCTTTTTTGAGCAAAAGAGGAGGAGGAAATGATGACTGCAGCTATTTTTCACAGACTGACGGGGGGCAGACTGTAGGGAACACTTGAGGAAACTGGTAAAATTAAAAAAAATAGAGAACGGAAGAGACCTAACCAGACAAGTAAGAAAGCTGTCAAGCAGAATTGAGTGATTAGTTGAAACCGGCATTTTTATATTTCTTGGGCAACAATCCCCCCCACTGCAATGATGTTCCATAGCTAATGCTATGGATTCAAGCCTTTGACAGTGTAATTCTTCAAGGATGAATGAAGAAAGTTACATTGTAATAGATACTTCAGAAAAGTAACTACCAAGTGATATTAAAGGTAGTCAACTTAAAACAATAGGGGAGAAAATACAATTACTTGGTAATATTTTAAAAGTAAATTAAAAGTAATGCAGAAAGTAGAGTATATTTTTAAAATGGTTAGTCTACTTTAACAAAAGGACAACTTAAGACCCCAGTGTAAGGACTTGGTATGTATAAACAAAATCAGAAATTATAATGGAAAAGAATGATTCATAAATCTGATTAACACAAAAATTTCAAAACATCTGATGTCATTGCTAATTACTAGAGAAATGCAAATCAAAACTACGATGAGGTATCACCTCACACTGGTCACAATGGCCAACATCAAAAAGTCTACATGTAACAAATGCTGGAGAGGGTGTGGAGAAAAGGGAACCCTGCTACACTGTTGGTGGGAATGTAAACTGGTGCAGCCATTATGGAAAACAGTATGGGGGTTCCTTAAAAAACTAAAAATAGAGTTGCCATATGATCTTGCAATCCCACTCCTGGGCATGTATCTGGAGAAAACTCTAATTCGAAAAGATACATGCATACCAATGTTCACAGCAGCATTATTTACAATAGCCAAGACATGGAAACAACCTAAATGTCCACTGACAGATGAATGGATAAGGAAGATGTGGTGTACACACACACGTGCGCGCACACACACGCACACACACACACAGTGGAATACTACTCGGCCATAAAAAAGAATGAAATAATGCCATTTGCAGCAACATGGATGGACCTAGAGATTATCACACTAAATAAGTCATAAAGAGAAAGACAAATACCAAATGATATCACTTATATGCAGAATCTAAAATATGACACAAATGAACTTATTTACAAAACAGAAACAGACACAGAAAACATATTTCTGTGTCATAGACACAGAAAACAAATTTATGGTTACCAAAGGAGAAAGGGGGTGGGGGAGGCATAAATTAGGAGTTTGGGATTAGTGGATACAAACTACTATATATAAAATAAACAACCAGGTCCGACTGTACATCACGGGGAACTATATTCAATATCCTGTAATAAACCATAATGGAAAAGAATATGAAAAAGAACATACATATACATAACCGAATCACTTTGCCATATACCAGAAACTAACACGTTGTAAATCAACTATACTTCAATAAAAAAAATTAAAAACAAAAAAAACACATCTAATGTGAAAAAAACATTGCAAACAAAATCAAAAGACAAGGCAAATTGGAATGTTTACCTACATCAAATAGGATAAAGCACTAAAATTTTTAAGCAATAAAGAACTGTTCACCATCTACTGGAAAAAGTAAAAAGGAAAAAAACCCTACAAAAAACCTCCATATAAACCAAGAAGATAGCAGTGCAAAGGACACAAATAATTCAAAAGAAGAAAAACTACATTAACAAAACAAAGGGTTTGTTTGAGATCAAAATAAATATGTAAAAACAAAAACCATTTTTTAATGTAGTAAACTAGAAACTGATACAACCTTTCTGGAGGATAATTTAGCAATGTTTCGTAAGCCTTAAAAATATTTAGACCCTTTCACTTAATAATTTACTTTCTAGGAACTTTTCTTAAACAAATGGAATTTTAAAAATTTATACTGCTATTTATAAGTTGCAAAATGATTACAAACTACACCTAACTGTCCAACATTGAGGGAATACTTAATACTCCAGTATGTCAAAAATGTGTAGGAAGAGTCCTAGATGAAATATTTATTTATGGGATTTAGGCTTAAAAAAAAATCACATTGTAAGGGAATTTCTCCATAAAAAGGAAATGATTACATATTTATAGACATGTACCTTTTTATCAAGACAGTCAATTAAATTCTCCACATAAACTTTCATGCTTTTATAGAATTTAAAATTTAGAACTTGATTTGATGAATTCTCTAGGTTCTGGATGGTACTCTTTGAGCTCTTGACATCTTGTAGGTATTTTTCATATTCCCTCAGGTGAGAGCGGTGAGTATCCTGTAGTAATGTTAATCTAAATAAATATAAAAAAAAATAAATAAAAATCGTTTTATATTACAAACTTTTATTTCTAATATAGTAAGTAGCAGTCTAATGAAAAAATTTTTCAAATCTACCTTACAAAGACCACCAAGGAAACTGACAATCATATAAACCTGCGTTTATAAGACTTGTAGAGCAAAGGAAAACACCAGTATAAAAGAGGTTTCAAAGGGAAAGGTAGGAAAGGACACTTAAAGATTTTTAGGTGCTGGAGCTAATCATAAGTTAGTCTTAGAGGAGAAGTTAGTAAGTGTGGATTGATCAGATTTTATAAACAAGGTGAGTTCCTGCAATAATCAGTGGTTTTATATTTGAAACACAGGAGTCCATGTGGAGTTACTGTTAAATCAGTCTGTGGTCTTCCTTGCAATATGGGTATCTGAGCTGGTATTAAAACCATTTGAGGGCTTCCCTGGTGGCTCAGTGGTTGAGAATCTGCCTGCTAATGCAGGGGACACGGGTTCGAGCCCTGGTCTGGGAAGATCCCACATGCCGCGGAGCAACTAGGCCCATGAGCCACAACTACTGAGCCTGCGCTTCTGGAGCCTGTGCTCCGCAACAAGAGAGGCTGCGATAGTGAGAGGCCCGCTCACTGCGATGAAGAGTGGCCCCTGCTTGCCACAACTAGAGAAAGCCCTCGCACAGAAACAAAGACCCAACACAGCTAAAAATAAATAAATAAATAAATAAGCCAAGCATTAAAAAAAACAACCATTTGAGCATATTATGATTTGGTAATTTATAATATTATAAGTATTATAATTTATAATTATTAAAATATTTAATATTAAAATTGAAATATTTAATATCAACATCAAAATATTTAATATTAAATCTAATATTAAAAATTAAAATTTCAATAACATCTAAATATTAATATTAAATTAATAAATAATAAATTAACATTAAATATTACTTTAATATTAAAATTTATAAATTATTTTGGTAATAATTTATCTGTTTTGTGACTCACAATGGTTTCTGTTTTGTCATTAGAATTTGATGTTCCGTGAGGTGGGTGCATTTCATTCCCTCTGTTGTTGCTGTAAACCCTATACTGCTCTGTTGTGTTCAGGAAGCCCAGTTTCTTTCAGCTCTTGTGAACATCACATGTATCAACTGATATAACATAAAAAAACTCTCAAATACAATTCAACATCTGCTTATCTTTTAATATTCACTTACCCCTTACATATACATGCCAATGGAGGAATAAGAAACACACAAAAAATCTAGAATGTGTTTTACACTAATATTTGACACTGTGAGCACATTAGAATTAGAGAATTAACTAAATGAAATAACAAATTCATAGTATTTGGACTTGAATCAAACAATTAAAAAAAACTAAACTTCTGCTAACCTCCTCTAAAATGAAAACTATTAGTAAGCACTTGCTTAGGCCAAATGTCCTCTTTTCAAGTTTCCCTTGAACAATGACTACTGCATTTGTCTCTGAAAGTCTTTCCTTGCTTTATATAAAAAATAGAGGCAGTTAAGAAATAAATCAAGATAATAATGTACAGCAAGCATTATTAACAAAATGCTTTAAGTGTAGTATTACCAGTTACAGCAGTAAATGTGTAAGTACATATATGGAAAAACAAGGTATGGAACAGGGTATATAAGTGTGCTTCAATTTTGTATTAAAAATGGGGCAATATATAAGTACGTATGTGCTTATACAGACATACATATATATTACTTCTGCAAGGAAACATAAACTGGTAGAAATGGTTTCCTCTGGGGAAGATGACTTCCTTTTCTCTGTATAAGCTTTTGTACTGTTTGACTTTTCTGTCTTTAAACCATAAAATATGTTTTCTTTTAAAATAAAGAACCCCGTTAATAAAAAAAATAAAGTACACTAAAGTTAAAAATAACATTTATCTGGATAAAGTGAAATGCTAATCTGTATCAGTGGTCTGCTATTTTTTTCTGTTCTATTACTCATGCAAGACAACTCTCTCAAACACAATCTCAAAAAAAAAGGTTCTGAGTTATATGTGATCCTAGATGCAATCTATCTATAATTCTAGCTCTGTATCAGAAGGAGAGTAAATGATAGTGAAAACATTACAAAAATCATCTTTAAGCAAGATAATCTCATCATTTAACATCACTACTGAAAAACAATGACCTAGAACAGGGGTTGGCAAACTTTTTTGGTAAAGGGCCAGATAGTAAACATTTTAGGCTTTGGAAGCTCGATGGTTGCTGTTGTAACTCCTCAATTTTACGTTGTAGCACAAAAGCAGCTACAGATAATACACTGCACAAGCCTGGCTATGTTTCAATAAAACCTTATATAGAAAAATGGGCAGTAGGCTGATAGTTTGCCAACCTCCTAGAAAACAGAGATAACCTGAAATCTCAAAAATGGTACATCTAAAATTTTCATATATTTCACAATAAAATGTTACAAAAGGTCCTTTTCTGCATTAAACTATTTAAATAAACCATGACCAACATATTTTAGTTGCAATGTGATCAAGGAATGAAGCTACTGCAAACCTGATTTATACAAAAGATACAGGGGGAGAAAATTCTGAACCTATTCGAAGGTATTAGAAAAAAATTACCAGGTATAAAAAAAAAAAAGCAATGAAAATGTTCTTTAAGAATACTTGCTTTGGTGGCAGGAGAACCAAGCTCTCTCCTTGTATTAAATGTTGTAAGGACTAATTAGACTTTTACTGTCATATTTATTCTTTCATATATCTAAAGATGCACACTAGATCCTAAGTAGTAGAACAGAAAATATATAAATATTTAAAACAAAACAACCTATTACGGGGTTTGCCTTATTTTTAACAAAAAATACCATTTATAAATGTGAGATTAATACTGTTTAAGAGATAACTATTAATAGCAATAGATAATGAATGGTTAGCTGTGCTTTAGAAATGTATTTGTATCAAGAACCATAAAAATATGTCTAACTTTTGCTGCAGTTAACTTTCCCCGGAAACTTATCTTAAGAAATAATATAACCATTTTGGGACTTCCCTGGTGGTACAGTGGTTAAGAATCGCCTGCCAATGCAGGGGACATGGGTTTGAGCCCTGGTCCGGGAAGATCCCACATACCGTGGAGCAACTGAGCCTGTGCACCACAACTATGGAGCCTGCACTCTAGAGCCCGTGAGCCACAACTACTGAGCCTATGCGCCTAGAGTCTGTGCTCCGCAACAAGAGAAGCCACCACAATGAGAAGCCCGTGCACCACAATGAAAACCCAACACAGACAAAAATAAATAAATTTATAAAAAAAAAGAAAATAACAGTTTAAGTGACTTATAGGAACAAAACGTTCATAATGAACATCTGTAGCATTATTCATAATAAGACACATTTAGAAATCAAAATGTCAATATCCAACACAGAAATACTTAAATAAATCATGATATACTAACTGTATCGATGAACAAAATATTACTAATATACTTATTTTTTATTGTAGTCAAAAACATATAACAAAATTTACACTTAACCATTAAAGTATATTACAGTAGTATTAATGATATGCACATTGTTGTATAACAGATCTTTAGAACTTTTTCATCTTGCAGAACTGAAATTCTATACCCACTGATCAACAACTCCCCATCTCCCCCCACCCTTAGCAACCACCATTCTACTTTCAGTTCCTAAGAGTATGACTACTTTAGATACCTCATATAAGTAGAATCATGCAGTATTTATCTTTTTGTAACTGGTTTATTTCACTTAGTCCTCAAGGTTCATCCATGTTGTGGCATGACAGGATTTCTTTTTTTTTTTTTACCACTGATAATAAATACTCCACTGTGTGTAAATACCGCATTTTCTTTACCCATTCATCTGCTGATGGACATTTAAGTTGCTTCTACCTCCAAGCTATTGTAAATAAGGCTGTAATGTGCAAATATCTCTTGAACTGTTTTCTTTTGAATTCTTTTGGCTATATATCCAAAAGTTGGATTGCTGGATCATATGGTAATTCTATTTTTAACTTTTTCAGAAATTGTTCTCCATAGCAACTGACCATTTTACATTCCCACCAACAGTGTATAAGAGTTCCCTTTTCTCTGTATCTTTGACAATACTAGTCAATTTCTGTATTTTTTCATAGTGGCCACCTTAATGGGTATGAGGTGATAGCTCAGTGTGGTTATGATTTGTTAATTCCCTGATTAGTGATGTTGAGCATCTTTTCAGGTTTGTTCACCACTTGTATGTCTTCTTTGAGAAATGTCTATTCCAGTCCTTTACTCATTTTTCAGTTGGATAGTCTGTTGTTGAGTTACATGGGCTACTTATATATTTTGGGTATTAACCACTTATCATATATATGGTTTACAAATATTTTCTCCTATTCTGTTGGTTGCCTTTTCACTCTGTTGATTATTTCCTTTGTTAGGCAGAAAACATTTTAGTTTGATGTAGTCCCACTTGTCTATTTTTGCTTTTGTTGCCTGTGCTTTTTCTTTCTTGGGTCCTTTGAGATTCCATATGAATTTCAGGATTTCTTCCTATCTCTGCAAAAAATGCCATTGGGATTTTGATAGAGAATGCACTGCATCTATAGATTGTTTGGGTAATATGGACGTTTTAATAGTATTGTTTTCTAATCCATGAACATGGGATGTCTTTCCATTTACTTACATCTTCAATTTCTTTCAGCAATGTTTTGTAATTTTTGATGTACAAATCTTTTGCCTCCTTGACTAAGTTAATTCCTAAATTTTATTCTTTTTAATTCTATTGTAAATGAGTGTTTTCTAAATATATAGTTTTGGACTTTTCATTGTTAGTGCATAAAAACAACTGATTTTTATATGTTGATATTTCATTCTGCAATTTGCCAGATTTATTAGCTCTTACAGGGTGTGTGTGTGTATGTAAGTGTAGTCTTCAGGCTTTCCTACGTAAGAGATCATATCATCTGTGAACAGAGATAATTTTACTTCTTCCTTTCCTATTTGGATGTCTTTTATTTATTTATTTATCAATTTGTTTTTCTTGCGTGAATTCTCTGGCTAGGACTCCCAATACTTTGAATAGAAGGCACAAGAATAGGCATCCTTACCTTGTTCCTAATCTTACAGGGAAAGCTTTTGGTTTTCCACCACTGAATATGATGTTAGCTGTGGGCTACTCATATATGGTCTTTATTATGTTCAAGTAATTTCTTCCTATTCCTAGTTGGGTGAGGGTTTTTATCATGAAAGTGTGCTTAATTTTGTCAAAGGTGTCTTCTGTATCAATTGAGATGATCATGTGGTTTTTGCCCTTCATTCTGTTAATGTAGTATATACCACACTGATTTTTTTATGACTCATTCTTGTATTCCAGGAATAAATCCCACTTGGTCATGTGTATAATCCTCTTAATGTATTGTTAATTACATTTGCTAGTATTTTATTGAGGGTTTTTACATCAATATTCATCAGGGATATTGGCTTATTAACTTTCTTTTCTTGTACTATCTGTCTCAGATTTTGGGATCAGGGTAATGCTGACCTCATAGAATGAGTTTGGGAATGTTATCACCTCTTCAGTTTTTTGGAAGGGTTTGAGAAGGAATGGTGTTAATTCATCTTTAAATGTTTGGTAGAATTATCCAGTGAGGTTATCTGTCCTGGGCTTTTCTTTGTTGGTAGGTTTTTGACTACTAATTCAATCTCCTTACTAGTAACAGATTTGTTCAAATTTTTCATCTCTTTATAAATCAGTCTTGGTAGGTTGTATGTTTCTTGAAATTGATCCATTTCTTCTTGGTTATCTAGTTTGTTGGTGTATAATTGTTTATAGTATCTTATGATCCTTTTTGTTTCTGTGGCATTAGCTGTAACGTTTCTCTTTCTTAGTTTTGTTATTTGAACCTATTCTCTTTTTCACTTAGCCTGGCTAAGGGTTTGTCAAATTTTTTTGATCTTAAAAAAAAAAATTCAGTTTTGATTTTTCTTCAGTTGTTTTTCTATGCTCTATTATGTTTATTTCTGCTCTAATCTTTACTATTTCCTTCCTTCTGATAACTGGGCTCAGTTTGTTCTTTTTGAAGTTTTTTGAGGTACAGTTAGGTTGTTGATTTGATACCTTTCTTCTTTTTTAATGTGTTCATTGCTATAAACTTCTCTCCTAGTACTGCTTTTGCTGCATCCCATAACTTTTGGTGTTTTTGTTTTCATTTGCCTCAAGATACTTTATAGTTTCCATTTTGATTTCTTCTTTGGTACATTGGCTGTTCAAGAGCCTGTTTAGTTTCCACACATTTGTGAATTTTCCCTTTCCCTTTCTGTTACCGATTTCTAGTCTCACTGCACTGTGCTTGGAAAAGGTATGATTTCAACCTTAAATTTGTTAAGACTTGTTTGTGACTTAATGTGGGATCTATCCTGCAGAGTATGGTCTGTGTGGTTGAAAAGAAAGTATATTCTGCTGCTGTTGGGTGGAACATTCCATATATTTGTTAGGTTCACTTAGCTTTGTTCAAGATCACTGTTTCCTTAAGATTCTCTGTCTATTTCATCAATTATTTGAAAGTGTGATATTGAGGTCTATTTCTATTTCTATTTCTCTATTTCTATTTCTATTTCTCCCTTCAGCTCTGTCAATATTTGCTTTATACAGTTAGGTGCTCTACTGTTGGGTACATATATATATAAATAGTTGCTATATTGTCCCAATAAATTGACCCTTTTATATTACATAATATGCTTGTCTCTTGTAGTTTTAAACTTAAAATTCTTTTCTCTAAGTAATGCCACTCCTGCTCTCTTTTGTTTACTGTTTTCATGGAATCTTTTTGCAATCCTATCACTTTCATCCTATATGCATCCTTAAATCTAAGTGAGCCTCTTGCAGATAGTATATAGTTGGCTCTTGCTTTTTAAAATTTTTTGGCTATGCAGCTTGTGGGACCTTAGTTCCCTGACCAGGGATCAAACCGAGGTGCTAGGCAGTGAAAGCACAGAATCCTAACCACTGGACCACCAGGGAATTCCCAGATCTTGCTTCTTTTATTTTTCCCAACCTATTCAGCCACTATATGTTTTTTGATTATATAATATAATCCATTCACATTTGAAGTAATTACTGATATGGAAGGACTTACGACTGTTATTTTTAAATTGTTTTTTGTCTGTCTTGTAGTTATTTTGTCCCTCTCCCTTTTTTTTTTTTAACATCTTTATTGGAGTATAATTGCTTTACAATGGTGTGTTAGTTTCTGCTTTATAACAAAGTGAATCAGTTATACATATACATATGTTCCCGTATCTCTTCCCTCTTGCGTCTCCCTCCCCTCCACCCTCCCTATCCCACCCCTCTAGTGGTCACAAGCCACCGAGCTGATCTCCCTGTGCTATGCGGCTGCTTCCCACTAGCTAACTATTTTACGTTTGGTAGTGTATATATGTCCACGCCACTCTCTCACTTTGTTGCTGCCTTGCGTTTTGTTGATTTTTTTGTAGTGATGTGCTCTAGATCGTTTTCATTTTCCTCTGCATATCTTCTATAGGTACTTTCTTTATGTTTACCATGGAGATTACCAAAAAACATCTTATAATTCTAGTAATCTATTTTAAACTGACAACATCTTAACTTCAATCACACACAAAAACTCTACTCCTTTATATCTCCCCCTCCACCTCTTGTTATTGATATCACAAATTACACTTAAAAATTTTGTATCCACTAACATGTTATTTTTTTGCTTTTACCTTTAAAATTCTATACTAAAAGTGATTTTTACACCACTCTTACAGTATTACAGGATTCTATATTTATAGATATATTTACCTTTACCAGAGAACTTTGTATTTTTGTATGGTTCATGCTACTGTCTAGTGTCCTTTCATTTCAACTTGAAGGATATCTTTCAGCAATTTTTGTTAAGGCAGGTCTAGTGTGACGAACTCCCTCAGCTTTGTTTACCTGAGTTTTTTATTTCTCCTTCATCCTACTCCCTTCTGGCCCCTGTAATGTTTCATCCTACTCCCTTCTGGCCCCTGTAATGTTTCTGTTGAGAAGTCTCCTGTTAATCTTATGGGGCCCTCTTGTACATGATGAGGTGCTTTTGTCTTGTGGCTTTTTAAATTCTTTGTATCTAGAAAGTTTGATTATAATCGTCTCATTGTAAGCCTCCTTGTGTTCATCCTTGTTGGAGTCCTTTTAACTTTTTGAAGTTGAATGCCCATTTCCTTCCTCAGACTGGTAAGTCTTTGGCCATTATATCTTCAGATAAGCTCTCTGTCCCATTCTGCTACTCTTCTCCTTCTTGGATTCCCATAATGTATATGTTGTTCTGCTTGATAGCATCATATAAATCCCTTAGGCTTTCTTCACTTTTCTTTTTGCTACTCTGACTTGGTAATTTCAAATGATCACTCTTTGAGGTCTCGCTTGTTTCTTCTGCTTGATATAGTCTGCTACCTTCAGTAAATTTCCTTTTTTTTTTTTGGTACGTGGGCCTCTCACTGTTGTGGCCTCTCCCGTTGCGGAGCACAGGCTCCGGATGTGCAGGTTCAGCCATGGCTCACGGGCCCAGACGCTCCGTGGCATGTGGGATCTTCCCGGACCGGGGCATGATCTCGTGTCCCCTGAATCAGCAGGTGGACTCTCACCACTGTACCACGAGGGAAGCCCCCTTCATTACATTTTTTAGTTCAGTTATTACACTTTCAGCTCTAGAACCTCTGGTTCTTTCTTAGTTTCCATCTCTGTTGGTATTCCAACCTTGTTCATGTATCATTTCCCTGATTTCTTTAGTTGTCTGTGATCTCTTATGGCACATTAAGCTTCTTTAAGAAGACATTAAGTTTAAGAAGATTATTCTGAATTCTCTGTCAGGTAATTCATAGACCTCTGTTTCTTTTAGTTCTGGAATCAATTTGGGTCCTTTGATTGGGCCATGTTTCCTTGTTTATTCATGTATCTGGTTATCTTTTTGTTGTGTTTTGTGTATTTGAAAATGCACTTAAGGGGAGTTTCTCCCCCATATGAAGCTGTTTCCCTTAAGTGCATTTCAATCAGCCTGACTGGAGATTCCCAGTGGTGTTGTGTGGGGAAGAGTGTCTTCTCAAACCTTTCCTGGGGGATGCACCTTCTTTGGGCTTCTATACGAAATTTCCTAATTATAGAGATTTGTGGGTTTCTTTTTCAGGATTCTGTAGTCTCTTGTTCCCTCTGGTGTTTGTAGTACTACAGACTTTCCGGCTCTGCAACAGGCTGCTTAGCTCTTCCTTGTCCTCTGTGGCCCTCAGGCATCTAACGTATGATGGTTCCCCATCAGTGCTCTGAGATAGACAAGACAGAAACAAGTCTCTTGGGCAGTACCTCCAAAAGACAGTGTTCCACTCTTCTTTCTCCTTCCCAATGGAAAAACTATGACTTGGGTTTTTTCTCTCCATCAAAAGCAGTGCTGGCTTGTGAGAGGGGCTAGATGCAGTTGGAATGAAATGGTTTTTCTTACCCATTACAATGTGGCTATTTTGGGCTTTGAGTTTGCCTGGGGTACTACAACTTCCTGATTTCTGGAGTACTCATAAAGGCTTTTTGGACAGTATGCTGTTGTTAAGTTGGTATCTCTGTGAGGCAACGAGGTCTAGGGCTTCTTATTCTGGCATCTTGCTGCCATCACTCCCGGCATATTATTTTTAAATATTAAAGGCTATTTAACAATGCAGATAAATGCTAACAAAAATAGTAAGTGAAAAAAGCAGAACTTGATTTTATTGATTGTAACTATACGATATATATTTATTATAAACACTAAAAGACGTATAAAAAAGGAAATCAGTTATATTAATGTGCTAATACAGGTGATGCTAATTTTTGCCTATAAATCTGTTTAATACTAATATTTAATAGTTAAAAAGATTATAGTGCTAATTTTTTCACTATTAAATGTCTATCACAAATGTAAATTTTAAAATTAATATTACTTACCTAGTATTTAGTTGCTTCTTTATAATTTCTAAATTTACTGGTGGAAATGAAATGTAAGCATCAAACTTCTTCACTGTTTGAGATTCACTGCTATGAGAAAGATCTATGTCTCGTCCCTAAAAGTAATATGAAAGTTTATATTGTTTTCAACATTCATTAGTCTTGCAAATATTAATAGCATGAAAGCAGATTGGATACACCAAGGTCTCACCAGCTCAAAATTCCATGCCTCTGACATTTTTTATGGTTGTAATAAAATGTTTTTAAAATTTGCACACAGTTTTAAAATTTAGAACTTTAAATTCACGTGCAAGAGGCAAATTACAAAATCTTATTTTTCACGAAAGCTTTGTTCTCAGTATTTATATAGCTAGTTCTGTTTATGATCTAATATACTCTCAAAAAACCACATACTGGAGGCTCCAATCAAGGTGGCAGAATAGAAGGACATGGAGGTCACCTCCACCCACAAATACATGAAAAATACATCTCTGTGGAACAATTCTCACAGAATACCTACTGAACCTGGCAGATCTCAGAACCTAAAAGTGCAAGAAAGATCTCCATGTAATCGGGTAGGATGAAAGAAAAAAAAGGGAAGCGGGATGGGACCTGTGTCCCTGGGAGGGAGTCATGAAAGAGGAAAAGGTTCCCATACCTTGGAAGGCCCCTCAGGTAGGACAGAAAGGGAGCTTCAGAGGCTCAGAGGAGACAGCAGCAGCCAGTTTGCACAGAGAGGCCAGAACAGATGGTCTGGGCCACTGCCCTGCACTCCCCAGCCTGAGATGCACATCGGCTGGTGCACACGAGGGCTGGGTGCTGATACTCCAGCTTTAGAGGACAGACCCAAGGGGAGGACTGGGGTTGGCTGTGTGGAGACAGCAGGAAGGGGCTGGAGTGTGGTACAGCGACAACCGGTAGGTATACATGGAAGAAGCCTGGGCCCGCCATAGAAGCAAAGTGTCATTGTTAAGGGGGTGTGAGAAGGGAGGGGCGGTGCCTGCCATTAGCAGCCTCACACTTGGCATGCTCACAGAGGGAGTGGAGCTGCCGCTGAAACCCCACTGTTAATGTGCATGTGAATGAAGGGAGGGGTGGGGCCGCCATAGCAGCCTCTTTCTCTGCACACTCTCAGCTGGCTTGGGACCACCTCTACAAGCTCTGGGAGCACGCAAGTGCCATGGGGTTGCCCACAAGTGGAGGCGGGGCTGAAATCCGAGCTGATTACCAGGGGTCACACAACTTAGGAAGCAGGGCTGAAATCTAAGCCATCTCCCCACGACTGTGTGATCTGCAGATTTATGCCACGGCCACTGGCTTTGTAAAAACTCAGCGACTTCATGATATCTGAATGGACAACGGGTGCTCCTGCAGCCCTGATGGGTCTGGCCTTAGCATCTGTGGGCTCTGTGGGCGCATGCACATGCAGGCTGGGACAGGGTCTGGGTTGCTTCCATAGCTCCCATGGAGGGTCCAGGTGTGCAACTACTGCAGTCGTGGTACCTGACTTCAGTGGATCTGCACTGGTTGATTTGCGCTGGTGGCTTTGTTAACACAGGGCCTGAGGGACACCAGGGACTACTGCCTGCATTCCCAAAGTTGAGGTGGGGCCAAGGGCATGCCACCAACAGTACACTTTGTGAGCTTGCACAGTGGGTTTCAGGCGACACCATGGAGCGCACTTCACAGTGGATAGCTCTGGTAGAGGAACACTCAGTGGCTCCTCTCTCAGTGGGAGTGCTCCAATTCCACCTATCTCACACCGCACATCAGAAACAGATCTGAGGGTTTCTACTCCAACAACTAGGGGGTAGATGCTGCCACCAACAGGGCTGTGACAACCACAGAGCAAAGAGGAGGCTCCGCTCAACATTCAGTTCAGGCTCGGGTCACCACGACACCAGTCACACCCCCTTTTAAAGGTGATAACGGCCAGCACACACTGAGGAAAGAGGCAGCCATACTAAAACAGCCCTCCCACCAAATATATTAAACCCGTGCAGGCTACACATGGATACTCCCACATAAAAATAGCCCTCCAAGACCACAGTAGTTAACTGTTTCTCCTAAACTCACAGAGTAAGAGAAATATAAGTAAAATGAAGAAGCAGAACAACCACTCCCAATTAAAAGATCAAGAGAATTGCCCTGAAAGAACAGTGAAATAGACATCTTCATCTAATAGATACTGATTTATTTCAAAAAGAAGATAGTGAAAATACTGAAGGAATTAAGAAAGGCTATAATTGAAATACATATTACTGTAAAAAGGGACTAGAAACTATATAGAGGGGCCAAGAAAAATTAGAAAACTCAGTTGCCCAGATGAAAGCTGAGCTAAAGGCAATAAATAGCAGACTGAATAATGCAGAATGAATGTGTTCTGAAAGACAAAATAATGTAAATCACCCAATCAGAACAGCAGACAGAAAGCCAATATAAAAGAAATGAAAAGAATGGAAGCAATATAAAAGATCTATGGGATAATATAAAGCTTACCAGTGGTTAGAGGTCCCGCTCTGCCAACAATCAGTCTGGCAGTGGTCCTCGCTGCAGACAGTGCAGTGAGAAGAGGATCGTAGCCTTCTCCCTGGGGCCCTCCAGGCCCTCTGGCCTCAGGCTGGAGGGTGAGCTGGGGGCTCAGGGACAGGCTGAGGGCTGTGTCCTGCAGAGCTCCAGAGCCCTCACCAGGGCCACCCACTGGTGGGGCCCAGGCCTTGAAGCAGCCCCGAACCTCTCCCCCATCCCCACCTCTGGGACTTAATGGCAGTAGCAGTCTCCATGGGTCACAGTCCATGGAGGCCCCAGCAACTGGAGTACATGGACACTGCCGTTAAGGTAGGATACTTCCGCACTCCCATGAAGCTGGGCACAGCCACATGCCTCCTTGCAGCTAAGGAAGTCTGAGCAGAAGTGACATGTATAGCACCCAGGCCAAAGCACTGAGCTGCGGTACTTGACTCAAAGGCTTCTCTTCCCTGCCGCAAGGACCTTGGATGTTCTGACTCCAGTTATGCTTGTGGAAAGTTCTATGCTCTCCTTCCTGCTCCTGCTGCCTCAACAATGTTGCTTCAATTAAAGTTACTGTTCCTTGAAGAGTGGGTTCTGTCTCCTCCAGGTCCACAAGGGCCAGGGCAGGATACAGGCTCCTCCCCAGCCCACAGCCCCACCCACACTTTGGGCAAAGATGACTTGCGCTACAGTTGCTTTTGTGTACCAGGAGTGGTGATTTTTAGTATGGTCTGCTGTTTTCTCAACTTTACAATTTTTAATTAGTTCCAAGGGCTTTTTTTTATCACTTCACTGGTTCCTGGACTAAAGATTTAGAAGGCAGTTTAGATTTAGTCCAGACATTTATGGTCTTAGGGATAATTGACTCTATAAATTGTGGAATAAACAGCTTATGCTCATAGAACTGTACAACACAAAGAGTGAACTGTAATATAAGTTATAGACTTTGGTTAATAATAATGTCTCAGTATTGGTTCATCAATTGCAACAAATGTACCACACTATTGCAAGATGTTAATAATGGGAGAAACTGGGTGAAGAGGGAGAGGTGGGAATGCTGCATATTATCTGCTTAATTTTTTGTGAACCTAAAACTTCTCTAAAAAAAAAAGTCTATTAACTAAAAAATAATAATATGGGCAGGGTGAGTACATGAGGGCATTGATGAAACAAAATTAGCCAATAGTTGGCAATTTTTGAAGCTGAATGATGGTCCACAGAGGGGGATTCATTATATTATTATATGTCCACAATAAAAGTTTTTAAAATCTTAAATATAAAGCGTGCCAATCTATGCATAATAGGAATTTCAGAAGGGGAAGAAAGAGACAAGGGGATTGAAAATGTATTTGAAGAAATTATGGCTGAAAACTTCCCAAACCTAAAGAAGGAAACAGATATCTAGGCACAGGAAGCACAGAGGGTCCCAAACAAGATGAACCCAAGCAGACCTACACCAAGACATATTATGATTAAAGTGGCAAAAGTTAAAGATAAGGAGAGGATTCTAAAGGCACCAAGAGAAAAAGGGTTAATTACAAGGGAACCCACATAAGGCTATTACCTGATTTCCCTATAGACAACATTGCAGGCCAGAAGGGAGTAAAAAGAGTTAATTACAAGGGAACCACCATAAGGCTATTACCTGATTTTCCTATAGAAAACATTGCAGGACAGAAGGGAGTGGCAAGATATAGTCAAAGTCCTGAAAGGAAAAAATCTGCAACCTAGGATACTCTACTCAGCAAGATCATCATTTGGAATAGGAGAGAGACAGAATTTCTCAGAAGAGCAAAAACTAAAAGAATAACAGCAATACTAAACATATACTAAAAGAAATAATTAAAGGCCTTCTCTAAATAGAAAAGCAATAATCTATATAAAAGAGAAAATCAAAAATGGAAAGTAAATCACTTAAGCCAATATACAGATTAAAGTAAAAACCAAACATTTTTGTGAAAGGGATGATAAGCAAAATGAACAGAAAAAGGATAAACATGAAGATGTAAAAGAGGGTATCAAAATCATAAAATGCCAGGTAGGAGAGTAAAAAAATGTAGATTTTTAAATTTTAGAATGTGTTCGAGCCTATATGACTATCAGTCTAAAGCAAGTAGATATAGTAATGGGTTAACATATTTGAAAACCATATGGGTTACCACAAATCAAAAAACATACAACAGATTCACAAAAACCCAAAAGAAGAGAACAAGCATAATACAAAAGAAAATCACCAAACCACAAAAGGAAAAACAAAAAGGAACAAAGAAAAAATACAAAATCAACCGGAAAACAAGGTTAAAAATGGCAATAAATACATATCTATCAATAATTACCTTAAATGTCAATGGACTAAATGCTGCAATCAAAAAATACAGAGTGGCAGATTGGATTAAAAAACAAGAGCCTACCATATGCTGTCTACAAGAGACCCACTTAAGAGTGAAGGACACAGACTGAAAATGAGGGGATGGAAAAAGATAACTCATGCAAACAGAAATGACAAGAAAGCAGGGGTAGCACTACTCATATCAGGCAAAATGGACTTTAAAACAAAGGCCATAAAGAAAAAGAACACTATATAATGATGAAAGGATCAATACAA